TTTTTTTCAACTTGCAAAAAAGGAAAAAGAATGTGAGACTGATAACAGAAGAGAGAACAATATCAAATCTACTGTCCCACCCTTATACACTGCATTAGAAACACCTTGGATGATTATTAACAAGACTAATGACCACTGAAACATCCTCACAGTCTTGTGAAAAGAGTTTACATGGATTTTGGAGCTCAATTTTCAACAACAAAGGCTGTCAATACTCTCTCAACAGGTAATTTACTTTTTTGTAAAACGTTTATACATTTTAATTTAACAAATTTTAACTGATTTACAAGTCATGTCTTTTTTACTTTTTAAAGTGTTACAAGAACTATTTGGTTAAAGAACCTTTTCTCCACTAGTAAAATTGTAAATAATAAATTAATTGTAAGAAAATAAATCAAAATAAAATTAAGAAAAAGAAATAAAAATAAAAATAAAGGCATTTTTGTAAAGGCTTTTTTTTGTAATTATTACTTTCATGTATGTATAAACACACTCATTTATCCCTTATCAACCACTTATCTGAGACCGGGTTAAAGTTGCAGCAGTTTCATCAAGAAGCTCCAAACTTCCTTCTCCCCAGACACTTCCTCCAGCTCCTACGGGGTATCCTAAGGCGTTCCCAGGCAAGCCAGGAGACACAGACCTTCAAGGATGTCCTGGGTCTTCCCTGGAAACTTTGTTGTGGTAGGGCAAGCCCTTAACACTGCCCTAGGTAGGCATCCATAAGGCATCGGAAACTGATGTCAAGGCCACTTTATCTGGCTCCCCTCAATGGGAAAGAGTGGATCTACTACAAGCTCCTTCCGGGTGACAGAGCTCCGCACCTAAGCGTGCACCCTGCAAAGTATTGCTGCTTGTATTGAAGACCTTGTCCTACAAGAACCAAAGCCAATTGACCACAGGGGAGAGTAGCAATTTCAATTGACCTTCATCACAACAGACCAGTACATTGGCTGCATTGGTGCTGAACATCTGTGCATCTGGGATGGTGGTCCCCCTTTCTAAGAAAAAGCACCAGAGGGTGTTTTGCAACTATAGATGGATCACACTCTTTAGGCTCACCTGGGAAAATCTCTGCCAGGGAACTGGAGGGGGGAATCTTGCTCAAGGTAAAACCTCAGATTCAATTATTTTTTGTCTGGGTCTTGGAACACTGGACCAGATCTATATCCTTTCTAGGACCACAGGATTTCATCTCTATATTTGCAGATGATGTTTTTCCTCAGGTGGAGGAGTTCAAGTATCCTGGGGTCTTGTTGGTGAATGAAGGAAGGATGGAATGTGAGATTACCAGATAGATTTGAGCAACATACTCAGTAAAAAACAAAACATTAGAGCTGTTATTTACTTACCACTTTTTCGTTTTAACACAGCGAAGGGTCCATACGCTATGTTCAATTTGCTACTTTTGACAACTAAATAACCAAGAGACATCTTTAATTCTAAAATGAAATGTGTATTTTGAATGTTGTGATATCCGAAACACAGCATGTATTTGATCAAAAGTACAAAAAAAAAATAAATAAATAAATGCTATCGGAGTCAATAGCCTATTAGCTTGGCAAACCAAGTTTGATGACTGGATCGAGGTTCATTGTCGATCATTCTTGTCCCCACTTCACTGTCCCGACTATTAAAGATGAAAAACCCCTAAATAAGTGTATTCAGTCAAAAATTGTGGTTACAGAACTGTAATTTTTGCGACAATATCTTAAATAAAAAATAATAGTACCTAACAGCGTGCTGTGTGATAGTTAATACTATACTATTAATAATGAAAAGAAATAAACCATTATTAATAAGGTTATATTTTACGCTGATAAGGTCTTGTCAGCATCTTCATGATACCTTTATACTCTTTTATAAACATTGTTCAACTAGAACAATCCACTGCCTTAATTAACAGAGCAAAGAGTTCAACAATTCTTCATTGGAAACAAATACATAACAATTTGATCTCCATTATTAAAACTTAAGTGATTTAATTTAACAACATAGGAGAATAGATTAAGATGCCTTTTCAGATATAGGTGACAACAAACATCTTTTCTTTCGGTTTGATATGTTTTACACTAACTTTATTAGGCACTTTTGTCCATTTATGTACGTCTCTGATATTATGTATATAGTTTTTTTCTTTTTTATACTTATTTACAGGTTTCTATATGCATATATATTCATATATGTGTGTTTGTTTATGTGTGAATACATAAATTTGTATTTTTTTAATTTTGTTACATATTGTTATCAACCATGCATTGAACCAAGTCAGTGTTAACGAATTCTGCACCATTGTTGATAACCATGTTTACTAAAAACACATAAAAAAAATTTAAGTAAAAGAAAGGTACTATTAGGAACAAAAAGGTTTCTGATTACTGATACATTATATAGATTATTGGTTCTGCTATTGTTAAACCCTAATTTGTTTAATTTGTTTATATCCATATTTGGTAAGTATGTAGCTAGAGATAAAGTAATTATGTTACTATTAAGTCAGCAACGTTTATAACACACCTTTTAGCTTAAATACACATTCAAATGTGTAGTGTTATTTTTATATGTTTCCTTTTAATTATATTTGTTTAAAATAACAGTTTGATATTATGAGCCCAAGCAATATTTAACATTCCCTGTCTTTTGTTGCAGAGTTGCAAAAACTGAACACTTTTTTTCAAAAGCAGAACATGTTTTGGAACTCTAGCTTACATTTATTTTAGTCACATATCTGACATCTGCCCAACTTCCACATTTCGAAAATGTAAACAGTGGTACCATTCTTGTTTATGTCTTGGTTTTGTGGTATAGAATTGGTCCCATTTGGGAATATTCAGGAATAGATTTCCAACACAGGAGTTCTGGGCAGCGCTTAGACTCATAAAAACTGTTGCTCTTTTATCACTTACATTTACTATCCTCTACCTCTGTTCATTTAACTTAAAGATTACAAAAATATAGACATAACACAATGGATTACATTTTCATTCCAAAAAAAAATTGAAGCCACCATAACTACCAAATAAATGTACAAAATTCCTAAATGATTACATGTAAATCACATTTCACATTTCTGGGTTTCTCAGCAGCATAAGTATTTTTTTTGCAATCCCATTTGCTGATATAATAAAAGAAAAACACCACGATGGTGTTATAAAGACTTTCAGAGAAAGGGGGAAAATAGTGTGAGACTGATGACAACAAACAAATTTACTCTCAGCCCGATAGATGCTGCATTACAATCGTCTCACATAAGTAGTAATTCGTTTTTTGTAATTTGATACAAAGATGATATATAATACATAAATAAATGCATATAAATCTTCATACATTTTTCAATTTATATATAAAATATGTATCGTTTACGTATTGAGCATTTATGTTTTTTAAATATTAAAATCCTTCAAGGATTCAATTCTTGGTCAAAACTTCTTTACACCACTGCAGAGTTTTTGCCGTTTTTAATGACTATATTTTATATTGTGACATGAAATATTCTTATAAAAGCATTCAAGTTGCAAATGATAACATCGTCAGCATGTTTTGTTCTTTTTAATTATTATTTTGAACTTCAAACACTGAAACATTAAACATTCATCAGACAACATTTTTATTTGCATTCATTTTTTTCAGTAGTTAAAATATGTTTATTTGTTTATTCAAAAGAACTTAAAATGATAATTTAATAACTTTATTGTGCAAAAGTTTATTTATTTTATAAATGTACACACGAACATGTCTTTAATTCATTTTAGCTTTAGATGAAACAAACAAATTACTTTAGGCTGTAATTGATGCAAAAGATTCAATTATTTGCAGAATGACTCAATATTCTTACCAAAGCATTACATTTATGGAAACAGTTTATATTATTTTGTTGATTATTAATTAATTCATGAATTTATTTATTTGTTTTTTGTTTAGTTTAATGACAGAGACATTGAAAAATTTTACATTCTTCAATCAAAATTTACATTTGCATCATTTTTTGCAGAAATACAACATTTTGCACTCAATGATTTAGTATTTCTCTTTGAATAATAATTTTATTAATAGCTTGATTGTGCTCTGGGTTATTTAGGTATAAACAAACAGTAAAGTATCCCTTTAATGAATTTTAGATTAACATTGTTTTTTATTATTATTCTAGCTTTTTTTACATTTTAATTTTGCAATTGTATTTTTTGCAAAAAAAATTGTTATTCTATCATTTATTTTTTATTAACTTATTTATTTTTTTATGTAGAGTACAATTGTCCTTACCATACATTGTTTTTTCACACCTATATTTGATTTGATTACTTTATGCTTGTCTTATGTAAGACCTACTTTGTTTGTATATTTCTTAGGATAAAAAATGCAAATCATTTCTGGGCTATTCAGTTATTTCGGACAGATACTGTTCAATGTATAACCTCAATTAATCCTCACCATCATCATCATCAATGCCGCATTGATGATGAAGACGAAGATCAATAGAAAAACCATTAAACCGTATCTTTCTGATGCTATCAATTCAAGCCCATCACGCGTTTCCTTCACAATTTCCTCCTTATTAAATTAGCATTCCGACAGTGTAATTTAGATTTAACACGACTCCAGCTTCTGACTACTGATTTGCGACAAATCCAGCACTGGAATGTTTTCGGTATGGAGTGTGCAGAACAGAAGAATGCTTCAGCTACTCCCACTTCTAGGAGATCCAATCCGAAACGACCAGCTGTTTCAAGGCGCCCCTCAGAGTCCGTCCAAAGCAAAACAATACACGGAAAAACATAAAAATCGTCGATGTTCGCCTATTTTAGCGTTTTATCTTCTTAAACGGCACATCTGATCGTATTGGTGGTGTCTTTTCCCGAAATACTGTTTTGGAAATAGCCCAGCTACGGGGTTGTTTATCTGTAGTAAGGGGAACTTGAAACCGTCCCTGCCCCATGTCCTCGGTTGTTTTTCTTCTTTCGCCTGGATTCTCCATGTTGTTGGAGAAAAAGTGAGGGCTTTACCTAGACTAGAGGGGGCTATGGATAAATATACAAGCGATAAAGTAAACCGAGACGCGAAGCCTAGAAAATAGCAGATAAGAAAAAACACAACAAAGTGTCATGCCCCTCCCATGTGGAAGAGAATAGAAGGCGGGAATAAATAAATATCAAAATAATTTGTCGCTGTAGGTTTGAGATTGTTTGCGCCAACGGAAATTATTCATTTCAAGCCTCGCTAGCTTTTAATGCCACTAAATGCGGACCGACTGTTTGTCGCTGGAAAAGGTTGGTTGGACGTTGAGGGCTGTGCGTTTGTTAGATGGAAAGTTCTATCATCACTCAAGTGCAGAGAGAGGATACTCGGTTGTCTTCGAAAACAGGTAGGCAAAGCTCTGTCACTTGCTAAACGGCGCTGTCAACTCTTTCTGATCGCGCATTTTCTGTCTGCCATTTTCGCGTCACTCTCTTCGATGTGCGATTCGAACTCGTTCGATGCTCTCGCGGTGACAGTTATTTGTCATATCGTGCTGACTGACATGTCAGTTCTGAGCGGAATTCGTTAAGTTCCGACCGTTGGAACTTAACGAAGAATTTCGCTTCGTATGACGAAATACGCGCTTTCTTTTGTTTGTGGCTTAAATCTGTGCCTAACTTAATTTGTATTATTTACACGCTTTTCCGTTGCAGTCAAGCATTGCTGAATGTTTACGTAATGTGATCAGTTTTAAAAGGATTTCTAAAAGACGACACTGCTTTTCTCTCTGTTAAAATTGTGTTTTTCTATTAATTTGGGAACATTGTGTAATGTGTAATTAATTATGTATTTATTAATTTAAATAATTATATATGTTTAATTATATACTCTAGCTCCTTTACACAATGAATACAATTTGGCACTTGAAAACATACTGTAAGCAATGCTGCGAATATATTTGGTGTTGTTTCCTCATTTGTGAGCGTCTTGGTTAATGTATAATTTAAGCGACATCTTGTTTTAACGTTATGCAGATTGTGATGTAAAACATTTCCTTTTTAATTGACTTAACTTACTTACACTCGCGAATGTCACACTCTAACCGAAGAGAAACTAGGTGAAATATCGAGCTAAAATGTGGAAAAACACGGGCCTAATGGAGAGCGCAAGGTGCCGCGCTGGAATGCACAACACACCCCTCGGCACACGCCCTCCATCTGCCGCGACGAGCTCACGTTTAAACCTCAACGGTTCACGAAGGCCTTTTCTAGACGTTTAACGAGTAAAATGTCGCGCTGTTACGCAGAAAATTGCATAGTAACTATGTTGTAACCCTTTACTTACTACCTGATGGGCCAGTGTGTGTCCTCATGGTGTTTTGGTGTGCAGTTGGGACTGGTGTTTATCGTGTGTTGTAAATATGCGCAGAGCTGCGCGCTTATTATAGAGCTGACGCAAACGCCTTGTAAACACCGGTCCTTCTAGTGTGACTCTACAGCACTGGTGTCAATTAGGCTATTATTACAGATGTTTACGATCTCTGTATTCGTGACTTACGAGCAGCCATAATGTTGGGAAAACAGCCAAGTCGAGTGTGCACAAATTCCTTGAAGACCCCTTGAACTCGCTTCATATTTGCTGGCATGCAGTGCAATGTGTGACTTTTTGTATTTGTGACAGTCTCAGAAATGAGGATGTGAATTGGTGCAGTAGTTATGTGTAATATTGTTCAATCAATTTGATTTGTGTATATGTGTTAAAATATATGTGCAAATCATACAGTAGACTGTGTAAGAGAATATTTGTCTTATGATGAGTGAAAATCATTTTTTTTTATTATTCAGTAAAACAGATGGTGTAACCAAGTCAAAGCATCAAATTGTTTATTTTCACCTCACATACGTGAGTGTATTTAACAATATTTTCTTGTTTTCCCAATTTGAGAATGTGATGTATTTTTTTAGTTACAAATATCAAAGGTGCTTAAAATTAAAAGATATCTAGTATTTTTAGCAAACTAAATGGCTGTGATTTACAGTCATCAGGTGTAAAGGGTCTTGTGTTTTATGACAGGACAACAAAATGGCTTCCTGCTTCATGTTGCGCCACACTGACTTAAGTTTTTTTTTTTTAATTAATATTATTTTTAAGAAATATGTTTATACATAATTATTTATGGCACATCCTATAGAAAACTTTTTTATTTAAAAAAAATTCTTGTCACTCTTCTGACAGCTTTACCACTCACAGATTTTTCATTAAGACATACAAAAAAAGTTCACAAATTGAAAACATTCAGCATTGCAGAAGCCATGTATTCATGCTGTTTGAATTGCATTTTCTAAAGTATTTTGCATAACTGCGCAAGGGCATGTCACACCATTGATCCTTAACCAGATGAGAAGGTTTGCAGTATTCTTTGAAAAGTTTTTTTATGTAAAGCCTATATAACTTTATGTAATTAAAATAATTAATCTAACTGAATATGCTGGATTGATGCTGTTCAAATTAATCAAGGAAACATGTTAAAAACTGTAATGACTGTTATGACTGCGGCTTAAGCCGGTATAAGATTCTGATGGTATGATAACCTTGGATAAAAGTATCACAGTTTGGCGGTATTGTAATTAACGCTCTCAAATATATTCTTTTTAATTGTTTGGGTAAAAAACAAAACTTTATTTCCCCTTTGAACACAATATATGTTATTTTGAGAAACAATTCCAAAATATTTTAACAGTTAACATGTCAGGCTAGATAATTCAAATAATACTATTAACTTATACTGCCTTCATTAGTTTCTAAAACACATATTTCCTTACAATTGAAAACACAATCTTTGGACTTCTTTTCAGATGGAGATACTGTTGTCCTAAAAAAAATGTAAATGAAAAAGTCTTACATATACCATAGGAACGGTATAACAGAAAAATTTGAAGGTTTTAAAACCTTGACTTTTCTAAACCGCGATATACCTTTAAAACAATTATTGTCTCATGCCTATTATTATGTCTTGTCATTGCCTGAGTACCTGCGTATGTGTGGTCTAAAAATGTAATAAATGAAGAGACATAACAAAGAAAAATCAATATGCATGTTTGGGTAATATAATGATGAAATATTATACTTTGATGTCAAATTAGACAATGAAATTTGTGAAATTGTTTGCACAGAAAATGTGCAATACATTATGGTAAACCATTTCAGAATGACCAAATATTGTTTGATCTATCAGTTTGGTTCAAAAAAGCACTTTGTAACTTTAATGTACAATAAAAGTTTTTTAATTTACTTTGTGCAGTTTTAGATAATCCTTAGTGCTTAGGAAATGTTTTGCTATCAGACTGCTTAAAAATAAGCTCCATATAGTTATTGTGTTGTCAATAAAACTTGTTTTAGGTGAAATCTTAAGTCGTTGCATCAACAAAAACTATGCTTATGGTGCATTATCAGATGCATCCAAAAAAAAAAAAAACATTTCTCAGTCATTCTGCCCACTAGTTTGATTACAAATATCAAGAACATGTTTTTGTTTTCCTAACAGATTCCTTGGACTCCAGTTACACACCATCCCCTGAAACTCAAATCCATTCTTGCCATTTAATTCGCCTTGGAGATCTTAATTATTTTGAAAAATAGATGGGTTTTGAATTGGTGCCTTTCTTTTATTCATCAGTTAAACTTCTTTTGTGGAAAAAAAAAAAAAACTCATTTGGTTAAATGTGAGCAGGAGTGCTAGAAAGCCTGACCACTTAACAGCGTCCAGCAGAACCTTTGACGGTCCCTAACAAAACACTCTTTACACTCCACTCACCAAAGGTGGAAATTATTGCTTTATCTACATGTGACAAATGTTTTCAAGAAAGTGCATTTGAATTCATGGATACATTTTCCTTGTACTCCATTTCCTGAGTCCCTTTTGTTAAGCAGGGCGTTATCAGCGAGTGTACAGATGGGCAAATACAGCACAGAGTAAATGATGACGAAGGAGGCCATTTTCTCTCATCCTCCCTCTGCTGTACATGCTGCTCGTATGTTACATAAGATCATTCCTATGGCTATATAAGCCTCCATAGGGAACCAAAGGGAGAAAAGGTGCCTGGGATCAGCCGCTGCTCATCATTACGGTCAAACTGAGGGAGAGAGAGGGGGGAAAAAGGGATGATTACTAGCAGTAAAGTTACATCACCAAAAGAATAAAAAACACTCTAATCATTGCATGGTGTACTTTCATGTTGCAATAGCTTTTGTCCAATTTTGCTGCTTGGGAATCTCGACAGGCATGTCTGAACAAAATCATGTTTCACTTACATGCAAATATTTGCAAGCACAAGTATGTAGAAGCCCCCTAAATATGCAAGGAGCCCCTCTGTAATGCACAACAAATCTGGTTACAGATGTGGTAGTGTTACAAAACATAGCTCTTATTTCTGTGGCTGCCAGTTTTGTCTGTGTCGTTTGTACGTTTTTGCCAGACTCTCCTGTGATGAAATGGCAGGAGCAGCATGCGTGTGTGTGTGTGTGTGTGTGTATGTTTTGCTCCAAAGGTACAGCTGAAATGTGTGGGCTTTCCCGCCTTCTGAGATTATATAACATATACCAGCCGTGGCCAGCAGTCTTATTTAAAACAGATTTTCTGTTTTCTGTGCAACGTGTGCCATCTCTGGAAAGGGGCGGCTGAGCATTTGGTCATTTTGAAGTTGATAGATGCCACATTTACTGGCGAAAAACATACATTTTATTGCAGTTCTCTAAATTATTTAAAAGATCCATCCAGCTTTATACAGTTGATGTTAATGTATCAAGCTGATGGGTGAATGTCTGTTTTACCAAACTCAAGTGGTTGATTGTCAATATATATTAGTAATTAATAATGTGCTCTGAGTGGGGTTTTGACAGTGATGTTTAGTGAGGTTCAAGTGGAATTGTTGATAAAGCATGCAACATGAGCCTTTTTTATGCCCTGTTTATGCAATGCAATTATCAGCGGGACTAATAGATGCAAATTAAGCAATTGTATTGTTTTCTAACAGATCAGGTGAATAAAAGTTCGCCTCAGAAACCTGGGAGTCGGAATATCTTCAAAAAGCTCATCTGTTGCCTTCGAGCTCAAGATGCCCAGCTGCCAACTTCACCTACCCATGATGCCTTGCTAGAGCCTGAGGACAATGGGACCTTTGCCAAAGTATGATAGTAATCATTAATCTGCATTGGCATTTTATTTTTGAAATTTGTATACATTTAAATATACATTACACATATATAGTTTAGTAACAATCAGTGGCAAGGATTGGTTGACAGTCACTGTTAATTAGCACTGTATCACTTAATTCTATTTGTTTGATTAATAAATAATAATATTCAGAAATATTTAATGTATTACAATTTTACATATAATGCACATTAATATTAAATAAGAGTAAAAATAATATTTAACAATATTAAAGTAATATACAAAGACAGATTAATAGATATAAAATTATATATATAATGTTTATATTAATTATGATGTGTACAATTATTTATATATATATATATATATATATATATATATATATATATATATATATATATATATATATATATATATATATATATATATATGTGTGTGTGTGTGTGTGTGTGTGTGTGTGTGTGTGTGTGTGTGTGTGTGTGTGTGTGTGTGTGTGTATTCAGTTTATTTTAGATCAGTGACAAGTACTAATAATTGATCACTTGCTTACGTCATTCCCTCAAAAAACAACATTGTAAATTACAACACTGTTACCTATTTCTGTCTATTACTAATAATATTTAATCATACATAGAATTACATAGTATTAATATGTAGCATATTGATATTTTATATAATGTATACATTGGTAATTTATATAATATTGTGCAGTAAAACTTTAATTTAAAATGCTACTGTTTCTTTGTAACTGCTGGTGACATTTACAAGCAACTTTAGTGTAAAAAATAGTTTCTCTATCAAATGTTTTTAATAGTGGAAAAAAAATGGCATGTTATCTACAGATACCAGGCGAGAGTCTGCTGCCAGCAGTGACCTCTCACGACCAGGGGAAGATCTGTGTGGTCATAGATCTGGATGAAACACTGGTGCACAGCTCCTTTAAGGTAACCACTCACGAGCATGCACATCAGGCATTTTAAAGAGTTTCATGCTGCATAAGAGATCAGTTCAAAACAGATGCATATATAACATTTTACATGTAAAATAACTGTAACATTTGCACGTTAATAACAGTTCGCCAACTCACTAATGTTTTAATCATATCCACATTGTGTTTTTGTAGCCAATAAGCAATGCAGATTTCATTGTGCCTGTGGAGATTGAGGGGACCACACACCAGGTGAGATCTGACAAATGTTTGTGTATGTGAGAAGCAGCAGTAATCCTCTGCCAGTGTGTGAAAAGAGGGTAGAGCGGGGATGTTGTTCCATATTCAAACGTGAATGTTGACCGCCATCTGCTGGACTGATGTGAGAACGACACTTCAGCAGTGCAGTGACGTCATGAGTCAGTTACAAGATGCAAAACATGTTTTTTCATGCATGTGCCAATTTTGGTCACAAATATCAAAACTATATCGTAAAACAAAATGTTTTGTCACATTTCAATTAATTTATCTTCACTTAACACAAAAAACACCAACAAAACATTATTTTAAATTATATAGGCATATTTAAGGCTTTTATCAAAGGATATATTCATACAAAATTATTTTTTTTAAGTGTTATTCCACAAAATTCCCTTTTTCATTGTACATTTTGTTTTCTGAAAGGTACTTTTAAAAAGTGCGTTTCAAGTGCAGAAGTGCAGTGATAAATATTAGTTTATTTTTTACTCAGTGTCTTGCCCTAAAATACTGGAGATTTAAATATTGCATGTAAATATTCCATAAGATTTTGCCATTCTCATCAGTTTTTTACAGGAAATCTGCATTTGGCCTTTGCCTGGTTCAAGTAATCCAGGATAGGTTAGTTCCCACTAGTACGGCCTATTCTTGGTTACTTGTTTCAGGAGGAGGCTACGAGCAACAGCACTACAGGACATTAACAAAACTTTAAATGTGTACCCTCAACTGATTTACAACTGAATTTAAATGGTTTTAGAGCTGCATGATTAAAAGATGAACATATCAAAGATTATCCCTGTTTAAATGATTCATGTAAATATGTTAAACTTTTGACAAAGTCATTCAGTGCTGTGTTGATACACTGACACAGAGAGCAGTTTATATATATCGTTCTGAAAAAGTCAGCATGTTATTATTTTGATTAGTTTGATTAAACACTAATTTCTATGGTAGCTATCAAAATAGAATAAATCACATGTGTTTATTCACACTTTTAAGCTTAGGCTAAATTAAAACATGTGGTTCATTAAAAATATGCAAAACACATCTAAAATGTCACGATACCACAAAATGTGACAACAAAATGGACAGAAATCCTCAAGCATATCAGTGTTTTTTTATAGTTGCACATTTCAGTTCAATACATGCATAAAACACATCTACTTGCAGCAGATTTCTGTGGCTGATTAATGATTAATTGATGCTGTTTTGACTCCTCAACACATTTATATTAATGAGTTGAGCTGATAAAAAAACATCTTCTGTAGGCACATAAAATATTCACATGCAGCCCGACGCACAACATTGTTTTAGATGTTCACAGTATTTTCAGTCACAAATTATAAATCTAGGTTTGGACTTTAAAATGACTGCTGCGAATGCAAAGTGAACCACGATTAAATATATAATTTTCATTTATGATTTGGACCAAATGAAATAAATACAAATGTTCTAGATGCATCAAATGATGACTATATCAGTTCTGTATTCACAACAGTAGATGGCGACAAGTGACTTTTAAAAAAATGTATTTGCCATTGAATCATTTAAGATGTTTGTTCAGTAGCGCTGATTCATCAGTAATGAATCATCTGATGTTAACAAAGCAGTTCAGTAGAATCATATCGTCAAACTTATTTTTAAAAATAAATCATTCATTTATTCATTCATTTTCTTTTCGGCTTAGTCCCTTAATTAATCTGGGGTCGCCACAGCAGAATAAACCGGCAACTTATCCAGCACATATTTACGCAGCGGATGCCCTTCCAGCTGCAACCCATCTCTGGGAAACATCCATACACACTCATACACTACGGACAATTTAGCCTACCCAATTCACCCAGAGGTTTATTTAGCCTACCCACAGCACCCAGAGGAAACCCATGCGAACGTGGGGAGAATATGCAAACTCCACACAGAAACGCCAACTGACCCAGCCGAGGCTCGAGCCAGCGACCTTCTTACTGTGAGGCGACAGCACTACCTACTGCGCCACAGCATTGCCCCTATGAATTATTCAAATAAATTAAATATATTTTTTTATTTGTCATAAATCTCTAGATAAGTTTAATTGTCTTGTCAGCATCAATGCCTCTATTTTAATCAATTAAACAACTCACATATAAATATATAATATATACTTTATATATATTTTATATATAAATTATATATTGTCATATATAATATGACAAGTTCATGTTTGGATTTCACATATATTAAATAATTAATATTAAATATTTCATACAGGCAACATATAGTTTGAAATATTGCAAAAATGGCTGCTTTCAATATATTTTGCAACCATTGGAATTACAAGTATGTACATGTATGTTCATATATATATAATAGCTCTAATATTATATGTGTATTCATGTATGGCTATATATGAACATACATAGTTTATATATATATACATATATATATATATATATATATATATACATACACACACACACACACACACACAAACACACAGGGCACAACAATAAGGACTGCTCGGTGGCCCAGGGCCAGCATGAGAGACTTGGGACAGTAGACAGGATAATTACTGGCCCGATTGGGACAGAGCTGCCTTAACACTAACATTTAATTGGTCTGCGACTATTTGTCAATTGCGTGCATTTTAAGTTTAGTCTTTAAACACTACCTTCTCTGTGATGTCGTAAACAACATATTGCTTTTTGGTTCCTCTTGTCTGATTTGATGTTTTGAGCATGCAATTTTTTTCCGTAACCTGGTAACAGCCAGTACAGCGAAGAAACGGCAACATGGCGGCATGATCAAATTGTAAGGCTAAAAGAAAATGTCTGTTTCTAACATCTTGGAAGCAGACATTTACGCGTGAACAATGCGACAAACAAAAGTGATAAAAATTGATAATAAAATGAAAAAAGTGATGTTTTGCACAGTTTGCCATCAGTTTGACAAGTCAGCCACCTTTTGTTAAATAATTTCGAACCACAATAAAATACCTCCACATTTTCCCCTGCTCTTTTTGTTTATAAAACACTTTTATTAACATGTTTTTTAAGTATTGAAATTCTAGATAAACTTTATTTTTGACACATTATTTAAAATATGTGGCAAAAATAGCTATTAACTTCCCTTTTTTTTTGGTGGGGCCAGTGAAAATTTGGTAGGGCAAGTAAAAATCTGAACCACTGGCCCACTCGGACCAGTCGAAAAAATCCTTAGCATTGAACCCTGATATATATATATATATACTTTTCTATGTAGGAAGAAAAATGCAATTGTCAGTTTATCCAGAATCATGCAGCTCTAAATGGTGTATTTCATCTGAATAGTAACATCAACAAGCACATGTGTGTTTTAGGTGTATGTGTTGAAGAGGCCGTACGTGGATGAGTTTCTCCAGCGGATGGGGGAACTGTTTGAATGTGTTCTGTTCACTGCTAGCCTTGCTAAGGTATGGAAACATAACATTCCTGTAGAAAATAAGAGTAGAAAGCCCTCATTAGATGCTTGTTGGCTAGCATTCTAGAGTTGTGTAGTAACCCACGGCTGTGCTAGTATGCAGACCCTGTGACAGACCTGCTGGATCAGTGCGGTGTGTTTCGGACGCGCCTCTTCCGTGAATCTTGTGTCTTCTATCAAGGCTGTTATGTGAAAGACCTGAGTCGCCTTGGCCGTGAGCTCCACAAAACCCTGATCCTGGACAACTCTCCTGCCTCCTACATCTTCCACCCTGAGAACGCTGTGGGTCGCCCTCGCTCTCCTGCTATTTATCTGCCCTGTAGATTCACCCTTATGTGTTTGACATACATATACAGTGGGGTCCATCTGCTACCTAAATGTTATTTTTATTGATTAATTGATTTTTTTTGTTTTTTTTTGTTGAGTAATTCATAATATTATTTAGCAGGGATTCATTAATAGATCGTAAACCATAGTAATACATTTTCTTGAAAGATTTTTAGGTATCACTTTAGTTTTGTTATTAACAGACCAATAGCCAACACTACTAGCTTAATGAACTACTAATTAGCTGCATATTAATAGTTAGTAAGGTAGAACTTGGGTTTAGGTTTTGGGTAGAATTAGGGATGTAAAATAAGATTATACTTTATAACTACTAATGAACAGTTAATAACTTAATAACAGGCAGGCAATAAGCCAGTAGTAAATAGCATGGATTGTGACCTAAACTAAAGTGTTATCAATTTTTGTTTAAAAAAGCGTTGTGCTTGGCAATGATTAGTCGCGTCTAAAATAAAAGTTTGTATTCATATATGTATGTATGTGTTTGGGGGGTGGGATGAGGTATATATTTATTATGTATATATAATTACACACATGCCTGCATATATTTGAAAAAAGTATATTTAGATCAAATATATATGCATATAACAGATTATATTTACATTTAGGTTTCCATGTTGATATTTTTGTTTTGTTTTCATGTTAATGTGTGTATTTATATACATGATAAACATACATCTCACACACAGATATTTTGTAAAAACAAACCTTTATTTTGGATGCGATTAATCAATGCTCAATAGAATTTTATTCTTAAGACTTTAGATTTTGTAATGCCTACTAAAATGGTAAATCATCATCATCATCATCAAGAGAAGAAAACTACTTAAATGAACAGTATTTTTACAATCATGAGATCATTTTTAATCAAAGTAGTTGAGACATTGGTGTACATGCATATTATTATGTATATGCATTATGTACACTCTAAAAACAATGACATGACCAAAAGTCATGACAACAAATCAGCTAGCTCTCTGCAAGTCTTACATTGTTGCCCACTGAAGCTAAGCAGGTATTAAAAGAAGGTATTATTATTATTCTAAATATTAAATGTTATACTTATATTAAACTTAATTTTAATAAGTTAATCAGGTTCCATCTGCATTTTTACGTTATACAAAGTGTAACTTATTCTGTTAAGTCAGTTTGATTTATGTTTAGAGTTTAGAGAAAAGTTCATTTGATTCAACTAAAATACTTTAGGGCAGCAACTATTTTTACAGTGCATGTAACAGAAGCAGTTTTGTTTTATTCATGTGTATCTAAAGTGAAAACAAACATATGAACCCTCCTATGAAATATTCATTTTTTTTTTATAATTCATATGTGCAGTTTAACTGAGCAATAACATTTGTTTCAGTATTAAAATGGAGAAAACCCTCTTTATTTTGGCTGAATGGAAAAATATATTTACAATAAAAAATTGTTAAGGTCAATATTATTCATCCCTTATTAGATTTAGAATAATGTTTTATTGGCTACAGAATAAACCACTTGTCCAATGACTTACCCTATTAGCCTAGTTATGCCTTTTAATTGAACTTGAAGATGAATACAGGCATTTAACAAAATAACTACAAACATTATGTAGTGGCATCATGACAAAGAGAATGAGAAAGAGTTATTAAAACTATTTTGTTTAAAAAATGTGTTCAAATCTCTATTAAACAAATTGCAATTTTTTTTAAATATATAAAAACTAAAATTTTGAATCCCACATTTTCAGTGATTTCAGACCTTGCACTCCCACTGTATATGTAACCATTTTGCTGCACTTCCATCTTAAACACACCAGTTTAATTGACCAAATGCACTAATATAATGATCCTCCTGCTTTTAAAACACATAAACCCTGCAGATTTACATAATCTCACAATGATTAGCCATTAAAGCGGTGGCTTATAATAACCAGTGTTTGTCCGGCAGGTTCCAGTACTGTCGTGGTTTGACGATTCGGAGGACACCGAGCTGCTTCACCTCATCCCAGTATTTGAAGAGTTAAGCCAAGCTGAAGACGTCTACAGCAGACTCCAACAACTCAGGGCTCCATAATCCATACGCTAAACCTCCATGTTGAGTAGCACTGACTGCCAATCAGACTCAAACAGCAACGCAAACGGTAAGCCAAGAGGAAAAAAAGAAACAGAGGCCAGAGCTTGCCTTTTGCAATAACGATTTACGATTTTTATATTCCTTTTTTACTTTTCTATTCATTTTTTAAGTTTATAAGGACATGTGTTGGGAGATTAAAACACTTGACAGGGTCTAATCAAGTCCAGAATGCGCAACAGTGAAGCTGAAGCCGCTGTATTTTGTTACTCAGCTCCGCACAACTGACTTGAGGCCAGTCTCTCGCTCTCTCTATGCAAGATCTACCTGAACTCAACCTCACTTTTATCAGCATTTATAATCATCTTCTTAGTGTATTCCCAATTCTAGCAAAGGCCAGAGAAAATGAGAACTGGATCACACGTCATGCTATGCATTTTTTTTTTTCCATAAATGCAAATGTGACACCAAGCACCCGTTCATCCTTGAGTCTTATTCATTTAAGCAAGGCCTTGTTTACTTTTCTACGGTCACTGAGGTGACTATCGTTTTTTAAAAACACTGTTATATGTGAATTATGACTACATACATACCTTGACACTTCCTGTATTCATCTTAAAGTGGCCTTATCTCTGCTTCAAGTGTACTTGATGGGAAGCAGAATTAACACCACGGAATGAACCAAAGAGATTTATCTAGTTCAGTCTCTCTGCTGTATTTCTGCAGACAATTTACTTGTGTGTTTTCTCATCTTATTTGTATATTTGGTCGAACTTGAATTGAACTTGAAATGTCCATCTCTGATGCAGATCAGATTCTCCATCGTGTATTATTTAAAGACCATCATGTTTTTATTATGAGTTGTTTTTACTGTAGCACAAGCATTTTAAAAATGGCCATGATTTTTATAGACACAACAAAGTGTTGCCTTTCTGTTCTAAAATGTGCCCTGATAAGGCCTGTGTTATCATATTTTTGACTTTTGTATTGATGACAATAAATTTTTCTCTGTGCAACATGCATTTCTCCTCTTTGTATCGTCTCTTTAGCTATTATTTTTAAAGGTATAGTTCACTTAAAAATATAAAACTACCTCATGTATTCTTGCTCATGTGGTTATAAACAAAAGAAGACATTTTGAAGAATGTTTGGTGATGACAGAGGTGTATTTGTTTAATAAGCAAGGTAAGAGAAAATCTGGTGCCTCCAAAATACATGCCTAGATGAAAAAATAACACCTATACTGTAAATTCAGATTCTCCATCTTGTATTATTTAATCACCATCATGTTTATTTTATGAGTTTCAACTGTAGCAAAAACATTCAAAAGATGGCCATGATTTTTGTAAAGTCGCCTTTCGGTTCTAAAATGTGCCCTGAACAAGGCCTGTGTTATCATATTTTTGACTTTTGTGTTGATGACTAAATTTGTCTCAACATCATGCATGTTCCTCTTTGTGTCATGTCTTGAGCTATTATAAGCTATTATTCTTATAGGGATAATTCACTCAAAAAAAAAAACAAAAAACTTATTTATTCTTGCTCATGTGGTTTTAAACCTTTAGGAGTTTCTTCTGTTGAACACAAAAGAAAACACTTTTAAAAAATGCTGGATGCGGGCACGTGTGGATTTATCCAACAAGCAAGGCAAGCGAAATCTGGGGGCCCCAAAGTTAATACCTAGAAGTATAATTATACCTATAAATGTAATATATATGTATCTACCTAATGGAATATTAACAGTTATATCTGTGTAAATGTGGCCCCTACACCCTAATAATGAAGCAGTCCAGATTTAGTTTTACAACGGTTTATTATTTGTATAGTTGTACATTCATTTTAGGAAAACAAATACATAAAGATGTAGAGATTGCATTAAGATTAAACATAGAAAAGAAGACAGAGTCATATAAGGAAAAAAAACAGAAACAAATAAATGAATAAAGGTAAAAAGGGAGCATTTTAAGGATTTTTGCGATTGACTATGGAAGTGAGTCTCTTAATTACTATGGAAGTGAATGGGTCCAAGCAACGAACATTAAAAAATAAAAATATTTGTGAAGAAACTCGAATAAGTTTTGAACAAGGGAAGGTTGAGTAAATTATGGCAGAATGATCATTGTTGGGTGAATTATCCCTTTAATAAACAGCTGCAGGAATTATTCAAACAGCATGTAAAAGGCATTCAAATAATTCCATGTAACCAATTTTGAACGATGAAACCCTAAAAAGCAAACATTACTATGCTTTGCCCTCAAACAATCCTGAAATAATGTAATATTTTTTATTCACAATCGTTTTAATCATTAAACAAGTAGCTTGGACATCCTTCTTTTGGCCACTGGGGGCACCAGAATCAATCTTAGTAAATAAAGACGTATTCTGTCATTATAAATATGGGTCAACATATAAAAAAGGTTTACAAGCATCAAAACATTAAGTAGCTCTCCCTCTCTCATTAAAAGATCACAATTCAGCCCAAAAATATTACTGTAGGTAAATGTCAAGATAAATCTTTATACTTTGCTACTATCCTTCAAACAGCTAGATTTTACCCATTTGACATTTAATAAATCATTTAAAATGACACATTTTGGTTAGTTTAGTCCTTTAAATATCTTAATAAGTACTAGTCCGAAAACGTTGATCATTTTTTACATAAGAATATCTGTTATACTGAATGATGGTGGAAAATCATTTCACATATTTTTGAATTAGGACTTAAAAAAATGATCCATTAGTTAATGTTAGTTAACACATCAAGTATAATCAATACAGCACAGTATTTTTAATCACAGTTACATATACTAACATTGAGCAACTTTATTTACATTAACTACCATTAACAAAGAAATAATAATACTGTAATAAGTGTATTGTTTGCTTATGTTAGTAAATACATCCCATTAACCATAGATGTATACTGTAAATATCACATACAGGCCCTGAGCATGTGTCAACAGTGCCGCCACATTTGTACAGTGCTCCTATGACAAATGCCATTCAACCGCACTAGTCAAGACTAAATCCAATGTGAAGATGCTGTGTATGGGTGTAGTAACGAGCAAACAAAGAAAACAAAACATAAAGGCAGAACACTTCATAGGTAAGATTTCGGTTTTTATGTTTTTATACGTTTCAAACTTTTGTGGTAAACAAGTAAGGTTATTGATGATAACAGTCTCTTAATGCACTGACCAAAAGGCAAAGAAGCACCAACTGGCACTAAATACTAGACTTAACCTAGTTTTGTGGAACAAAATCAGCAAACAATATAAATTAAATATGACAAGACACTGCGGTGCCAGAAACTTTTAGGAACGAGTCGTTCATAACGGAGATTCATTCACAAATGAATCGCTCCCTCCATTAGAATGAGAAGTAAAAGCAGGAGAGGGTTGTGTTTCAGAAACCATATTTGATCAATTTATTTATTCATTTATTTTTTTTTGTCTCATCTTCATATTAGATCAAATTTAACAGGGAGGGAGGATAATACATTTCCATGCACATAAACACGTGCTCTTTAATTGTCGGCAATACCAATGCGCTCACTTATCCATCACTGTAGAAAAGTGATGTAAAATTATAATTTTTGTTATTTAAATAAATATTTGCATACTGACCACTGGGAAACTCCTGATCATAGATATATGTATACATGTGTATATATCTCTGGCTGGCCAGTCCTCCACTGCACCTAGGCCCCACGTTCATTTTCAAAATGAGCACTACCCTGTCCTAAAATGGCGGCTCTATTGACCCATTCCTTCCAATAGACACCAATATTGTAGGCAACATCTAATGTAAATATCTATAATTATTAATTAATGGAGCATTATTCCAAAGCAGGGGTCACCAAACTTGTTCCTGGAGGGCCGGTGTCCTGCAGATTTTAGCTCCAACCCTAATCAAACACACCTGAACAAGCTAATCAAGGTCTTACTAGGTATACTTGAAACACCCAGGCAGGTGTGTTGAGGCAAGTTGGAGCTAAACAATGCAGGGACACCGGCCCTCCAGGATCGAGATTGATGACCCCTGTTTTAAAGTGTTACCTGATTTTTAAGCCGTGTATTTGAAACAGTAGACAGCTGTAAACACCAAAATGTGTCATCTTTGACCCTTATACATCACAAAACTCTTTATTTCCAATAAATATCCCTTCACAAAAACGAAAGCTTACACACAAAGCATACTTAAAAAGGTTTTTTATTGAGTTGCATGAGTGATGGCGATTGCTTAGAAAGGAGATTATGAAAACACATTTATGGCTTTTGCAGGACAGAGTGAAAACAAAAATCAGATAGCACCTTATATAAACATTTTACAGATATATTAACAACTTCATCATAAATTCTTTTGTAAACATACCAAACTAATATGAAATATTCCTGACAATTACAACAAAGTAAATAACAAAGGTTATAACGGCAGGCAAATCAGGGAACTACGATAAGAACACAAACTACTTATAAAAAAACAAAAAAACATGTAAAAATAAAAATAATTTTGTGACAAATCAAGAGAGTGACATGCGTATAAGATTGACTATAAAATTCATTTACCTCTACAAAAAATCTTGCACAGGCTGTTGGATGACAAAGTGTGTGTGTGTGTGTGTGTGTGTGTGTGTGTGTGTGTGTGTATTTATAAGCATATATGTCAGGGAATGTTTCTAATTAAGTCTTTTGTTGTGGTGGTTTCATAAAAACAGCTATTGAGGTCAGCACAGATTAGAAAGGATTCAGACTGTACTACTAATCTATGGCTTTTTGAGCAACCACTTGAAAAATGGAAAGTTTAGTTATTGATTTATTTTTGCCTGTAATCCATTTTGCAGGATTAGCATCGTCAAACGCATGCAACGCACCTTGACTTGAATCGTGCCAAAATGCTTTAGCCTGAAGAAATCCAATGGATTTGTGGGGGGAAAAATGAATAAAATCACAACCATTTCCCAAAGAAATGCTGAGTTCCCAACATGAAAGCCGGCCGGCTGAAGGTTCATTTCTAACAGCTGTGGAAAGATGCGTAAGGCAGAGTCAGCGTTATGTCGACAGAAATCATCAGCCACCTTTTTCCGAATTGGTTGGTTTTTCTTTCATGTCTGGTCAACCAGAGACAAGCTTTGTTAAATTTCGCTGAGTGACCCAACAAAACAGTTCAGAATCAGGTCATGAGCTCAAGTTTCTTTAAGGGTGCGTTCACACTTTGGTCCGGACCAAAAAACATTAAATATATACTGTCATTTTTAAGACTGAACCGTAAGAAACAAAACCAAAACAACGGCTTCAATGACTTTTTTTTTTGGTGAAAGTACTCATCAGACATCCAAACAATGTTGTGTGTTGGGATAAACATACAGATGATGCCATTTTGATCAGTTGAGAACTCAAAGTAGCTTATAAAGGTTTAAAGGAGTGAAAAGAGGGGCAGGAATTCCTCAACTGAACACAGAAATGTAGATCTGAGCAATGGAGACATGATTACGATGCCTGGATTAAACTATGATGTGAGGAATCTTGTTTCCGCCACTGCATAAAACAGATAATCGTCACTTTTTTCTCACAATTGTGTTGTAAGTCAGAATAGTAAGAAACAGACTTGTATTTGTCTTTTTTTAATTCCCTTAGAAATGGACTTTATGTCTGCGCTGATAGCTCGTGTTGGGGGAACGCATTACTAGTAACTTGGGTTAGGTGATAATACTACTTTTCTAAGTAACGAGTAAAGTAAGGCATTACTTTTAAAAACTAAATAATGAAATTTGAGTTACTTTATAAAATGTAATGCGAGTTACTTTTTAAGTTAGTTAATTCGCTTTTTAAAAAATAAATTGCTGAATTAAAGTGAATGTAGTCAGGAAATAGGAAATTAGGAAATAGTCTCATTATTTTGAACACATGGAAGAAAAGGAAAAGAGGATTATCTGAATGGCAGTGATTTTATCTTTTTATAAGACAAAAAGTAGAAAAGTAGCAAATGCATTGCTTAAGTTTTATTCGTTATTCTG